GAATCGTAGTATTAAGATTGTGAAAGAGAGGGCGAGGCTTTCTGTTGGTGTGAGGTCATACGTGAACAAGATGAAGACGCTGATACTCAACCGAGGAAAGGTCGTGTTAAGATGGGCCCAAAGAAAGTTGCTGGTGGGCAAGATCGAGGACGGGGGCAAGGACGAGGTCGCGAGCAAGGGAAAATTTGACTGTGATGATTGGTTTGTTGACTTAAATGAATTGAATTTGAATGGATTGTTGGTATTGATCGGTGGATTGAATTTGAATGGATTATTGGTATTGAATGATGGATTGAATTTGAATGGGTAATTGGTCTATTGGTTGTGTAATTTGGTAACACTTTTTTATTAACACGCATACTGCTTGTTAGAACAGAAAATGCTTACCGATATCTAGTAAAATGCTTGGCAGTGTATATATAAATGCTAGCAGGTTTGGGATGGTTGTAGTAAAATGCTGACAAATTGTGGGTGGAAATGCTTGATGATACTAATAAAATGCTGGATTTAGTAAATGTGAATTCATGTCCATCATTTTATGTTTTTGTTTATAGGTGATATCTTGGTGGAAAGTCTGTTTACAGTGTCCTTTTGTGGCATTTTCTATACAATATTTGTATTATTTGATAGCACAAGAACATGCTAAACACAATTATAGAAAACATTTATTGGTATTCAACAAAATATTTGGTCTTGTATATTTAAGTGCTTATTATCAATTATTCACAATACTTTGCAACTAAATCATGTATAAACTGACCAAAAATCAATTTTCTTGCATTTATCCTCCTGGTTATCTCTCATATTCATCATTCGATGATTCTTTTGTCTCTCAGAGTTGATGATTGACACATTTCTTTTAATTATTCCTTTTAGATTGTCTCTTGGCTTCAATATTAAATATTCTGCAATGGTTGTATTTTGTACTCCACCCGTAGCATGAAGAATCAATTAGTTTAATATTATATACATTTCAATGAATATAAAATATATACAAAACGTAACTGTTATTTTCATCTTTCGGCACTCCTCCATACAGATTTGGGCATGTAACTGTGTTGTGATGCAATGTATTGAATTTATCTAAGAATGAACTATAATTCTTCGGCTAAGAAGCTATTAATTTTGCAGAATTCATGAATAGGTGGGACAATGATTTGTATCTTCTTGAAAAATCCATTTCCTCCCGACTTGATGTTAAACTTGTGTGGTGCGGCCGTAACATCCTCCTAGCATCTTTTCTTCATCGATTCAATATGTATTTGTTTGGGATGTTTTTAAACTGTGCACACCTTGTTGCTACTAATACATCCATCGTGCGTATTGAATGACAACATAACATTCAAGCATTTTTCCATGTGTTGCACATGCACTTAATCGAAGACTCTTGAATATTAATGCGAACAAGATGTTGATCGTTTTTCTTCTCCATGTTATATACAAGATATATTGTCTTTTCATCTAAGCACTGTGTTATTAATTCAAAGGATCTTGGGTATTGCTCTTGAAACTATTGAAAGACATTCGGTGTGTAGAACATACCTGCAGATTTCATCAATGGGTTGAACATATGATTTGTAGCTAACCGTCTATCTTGTGTGAAGAAATCCTATTGTTCATTTTTTTTCTCTATGATTCTCCACCACTCTTTGAAATTGATAAATAAATTGAACAATATTATTGTCTGGCTGTAAGAACCTATTCAACATATTCACATTCATTCAACATTATATATGAATAATATACTCAGCATACTAATCTATTAATTTCAGCAGACGAGTCAAGTAAAGAAACATGTTCAATTGTATAAAGCATAGGAGCTTGTATATTGCATTTTCAATGAGAAGTTAAGTGATTCACTCAGTTGTGTTTTTCTCAATGAATGAATGTTTAGTAGCCACTTATGAGGCCCTTTGGGGAAGCATGCCTGCAACATATATTCCCACTGAATGCTGAATTGGTTTTCATTATGTACCTCGTAGAAAATATATTGAAACATCTCAGCAAACTTGTGTGTACAATGCAAGTAGTGTAGTTGTAAATGGCATCTTCGATTATCAAATTTATCATTTAGTTGTAATAATTCCAACATACCTTGTAGTGTAAAGAGTACTGAGATTTTTTTTTGGCATTTTGTACAATATGCCATGTGCACAGAGTATGGTATGTTGTTGGTATTATCTCTCTTAATGCTGGAGCCATAGCCAAATTTTGATCCATAAAAGTCATTTTTGGTGCTTGTCCGCCTATGCACTTCAAGAAGGTATTGAAAATCCACTTGAATGAATCTTGTGTTTCCCCGTACAACAACGCTCCCCCAAATATAAATGTTTGGCGGTGGTTATTAAATTCCACGAAAATACATGATGGTGCAATATTGTTAGGATTAGATACATATGATATGTTGTATATAGTGTATGAAGATGCTGACAGATAGTATTTAAAATGCTGACTAATGGAAGATGAAATGCTGACTATGCACAGAAAAAAATGTTGTATGTTTACCTATTGGCATGTAGTTCTTATTTGTTTGGTATGTGGTATCAAACGTAATAGAATCCCCAAACAATGTGTAGGCTTCCCTCATTTTAGCATCTGACCAAAATATATTAGCAATCTTTTCTTCATAATCGACTTCAATTTCATAAAAGTAAAAATGATTATCCACTGAGTTTTGGCCAAAGTACTGCAGTAATGCATTTGCTTCGCCCTACTTGAGAATCTCATTCCTTGTTTCCTTTATGTAATTCTTCAGGTCCACCTTCAGAAATCCTACATTTTCCTTTCCTCAAGCGGCTATTTTCATCAAAACATACGATGATCTAATCGGTAATCCAGCTTCCTAATTTGTATTCGCAATGATTAAATGTGATTAATCAATCCTACGATTAGATACAAGCATGTGCTTGTATTTTGTAGGATGTAGATCATGATTGTTGTTGTCTTCAAAGTATGTCACTTTGTACTTTGCATTCTCTTTGTCAAACTGAAGTCGTATCTTTAAATTTCAGCATGTTCTCGTTTCATGACTACGATGCATGGTCTTTTGATCCTTAAGCTCGCTGCATTGTTTTGGATGAATCTCATGATGATTTGGTTTTACATTGCTCCCCTCTTTGAACCCTACTTTGTTGCAACAATACTCCGTGCATTGTATCTGGTGCGGATCTTTTTTGAACTTTTTCTATATTCTAATCCTCACTGAAAAGTCCCTATTGTGTGCATACTCATAATAGAAATTGTATACATTATCCGGTTTTGTAAATTTCATTGCATATCAATTTATGGACTCTGCACATATGAAATGCTAAATTACGTAAATGAAAATGCTGACTACCATATTACAATATGCTTTCAGATAAATGACAAGATGCCGATCTTTGTGTCAAATACAATCACATATCATAGGGAAATGCTAATGTTACTTGAACGATATGTTGCATTATTTTTTTTAACAGTAACTTGAATGCTTTAATTGAATTACGAATGCTAACATATATTCACGAAATTCTAATCCGATAAGACTAAATCTAGTAAATTCAATGAAATATATCACATAAGGTACGATGTTCACGATTTCAAATCAATTTTCGATGAGTAACTTACGCGATTGAGTAATTTCCAATTCCACCGCGTTTGGTATTGGCGAAGGCATTGAATCATCCAAAATTGCAATCTCTTCGATGTCTTTATTGCTTGCTGGCGATTGATTGGGGTTCGAATAATAGATCATTGATTTTGCTCACCTTCGTCGATATCAGCCATTGCTTCTGTTGTAAATGATGTCGTCTGTTCTCTGTACCGATTGCTGTGTGAAGAACTAAGAAGAGTTAGGTCTGCGTGAAGAACGGTGAGGAATGAGATCTCATGAAGAATGAAGAAGATTGAAGTTTGAGGTAGTTACATAAATTAGGGATATTAAAATTATAATTACACCACTAATTTAATATTAACGATTGGATTAAAAATTTTAATTCAATGACTAATATGAAATTAGCATGCTGATGTTTAATTATCAGCATGCAATCCCACCCCATACAATTTCATATAATATTTTAAAAAGAAATATATATTTAATTTAATAGTCTTTCAATCTCAATAAAAGTGAGTGAATTTAAACATACTAAGAAAATATAAATAAATTTAATTAACTTCTTAATATATAACATTATACATATAGATAAAATATATTTAAAACTCTTTTATTTATATCTAACTCTTTAATAAATATATATTTTTATTTACATTTACAATTATTGTTTTTTAATAAAATTAATTTATTTAATTATAAATAAATAAATACATTTTGTTATTTATTTTTATAAATCGATATATTTTATTGATACTTCCTTCCACTATCCAACTCAAAGCATATTTTTTTACCGTTTTTGTCCTTAAAGTGAGTATAAAAATATTTAAAAATATATTTAAAATTTATTTTAATAATATATATTACTTCTTATTTTAAAACTAAAACAATATTACTCACATAAACAAAAATAAAATAATATCTTAACTTAATAGTATTATTAATTAATTAAACTTTATTACTTTAAATAACTCACTAGAAATGATCAATTGATAATTTAGTATTTTATAAATATAAAGTGTAATAAAATAATATAATATCTATTTTATTCTTAAAAAATAATGTTACAAATAGAAAATAAAAATATTTTAATATTTAATTAAGAATTATATTTTTAGAATATTAAAAATAAAATATTTTGATTTAGATAATAACAAAAGAAAAATTTTACGAGTGAAAAAAAAAAAAAAAAGAATTTGAAAACAAAACTTGATAATTTTTCCGTGTGCAAATGACAAATCGAAGAATTTTTGGCGTGAGTAGAGTCGGCGGTACTCGGAACCAGAGGGCAAGGCTCATTGTCATTTGACAATAATGCCTCTCAAAGTAATCGGAATTGATGTTCAATTCTATGGGCTTTTTAGTCCTTTCGGTTCTCCCTTTCTTCAAAATATCTTCTTCTGTCGCGTCACCCAACCTGCTGCCTTCTTCCACCACATTGCATTACACCCAAAAACGGAACCTGAAACCCCCATAGATAGACATCAGAGTTCTTCTCCACTTTTGGCATGGCCAGTGTCCTGGGGAATGTTTCTCCGTTTCTAGACCTCTCGGCCCCGCCTCCTCGGACGGTAGTTCCCGACCGCAGACCGCGCCTCTTCCCTTCCGACGCAGTTTTGAACCTGTTCAAGAAGGATCTTCACCAGAATCCTAATTTTCATGCTGCGTTTGAGTCGGTGTTCGATCACAGGGAAAAACATGTGAACAAGAGGAAATTTAATCAGTCCAAGGTGAACGAGGTGGAGTACGAGAACTCTAGCGACGACGAGAATGGGAACGGTGTGGAAGATGAGCTCGGTGAAGACGGTGGGTTTGATTGGGAGGTGGAAATGAGGAAGAAAGTGAAGGAAATTGAAGAAATGAGAGAGTTGGAGAAAAAAGCTGAAGATTTACAGTACAAAGTTGATCAGGAGTATGGTGATGATGGTGAACCGAATGAGGAAACTGAAGAACAGAAACGCATGAGAGTTAAGAAGGAGCTTGAGAAGGTCTGTTATGCATCCAATTGCTTTAAATTTCGTTGTTTATTAGCTTTTGGTTGTTTTAAGATTGCAAATCTCTCTTCTTGTAAATTAGTGCCCCGATTTAAAAGCCAGATTTAGATATACATACTGAGTGTCGATGCATACCAAGTATTTGATTAATGCCATATCTTAATTTTGATATAGATTCTTGTCTGAACAAAACTTGTTTGACTTAAATGCTGAAGAAGTCTGTTTTAAACTAGAAATGAATTCGAAGTCTCCATAATATAATCCACTAGGATGTACTAAGTGATTATCAGCCGTTTAAGCTTGAGTACTTGTGAAATGATTTTCATTTGGTTTAGATCATCTTAGTAGTTGTTATCTTTTCCCATATCTATGTTTTTCTTTTCCTACTTATGTATTCTTCTTTTTCCAATATTGTATTATATCTGTTGGATACACTTCACAGAAAATTGATCATTTTTAAATGTGAAATACATTATCCAGTTGCTTTATTTAAAAAGTTGATTCTTAAAGGAGTTCCGACAATAAATATGTTCCTCTTGTGTATTTATTGTTTCTCCTAGTACTACAGTTTTATAGCTGGCAGCTGCCATATGCATTCATAAATAGACAAGATCTATCAGCTGTTTGTGGAAGGATCCATGGTGAATATTATTACATTTGTTTGGTCTAAGATTTTGGTTAGGAGTTGAAATAAAATAGAAGTCGAAAATACCTAAAATATATTCAGATGTTCAAGGACAATAATGTTGATATGAATGGGGGAAGGTAGCAATGAATGTGATGCAGAACAAGTGACCCGACCCGAATGCTGCCTTCAGCTTTGCTTTTATTATTATGTTATCTTTATATTTCTGATTATTGATATGATTTCTGCAAGAAAACGACAATTTTTTTTTCTACAAACTAGATTTTCCGATGTTTTAGTATTTGTTCTAGGAACTTTAGCAGACAAAAGCTTGATAAATTAATATGCTGTGAAAAAATGATAGAATTTTCATATTTCTAAAGCTAAATAGTATTTTCAAGAAAAGGGCAGTGATTTTACTTGTTTTATATTTGTTTGGTTTGGCTTTTCAGAGACCCCATGTTCACTTACTTATGACAATATAGGTAGCAAAGGAACAAGCAGAACGAAGAAAAACAGCTCAGTTGATGTTTGACTTGGGTCAAAAAGCCTATGGAAAGGGTATGTATGGACGAGCCATTGAGTTTCTTGAAGGTGCCCTCACAATCATTCCTAGACCCACCTTGTTTGGTGGTGAGGTTGGTAAACTCTCTACTTCTTGTGCGAAAGCAAATTTTCTTTTCATGAACTAATTTTATGCTCACATTTCTCTTCAGATACAGATATGGTTGGCTATGGCTTATGAAGCTAACAATCGCCATGCAGACTGCATTGCCCTGTATAAGCAATTGGAGCAGAAACATCCTAGCATGTCTATTCGCCGACAGGCTGCTGATCTGCGATACATATTGCAAGCACCAAAGCTCAAGATAACACAGGAAGAGATGGTAACCATCCCCCTAATTGGTTCCAGTTATGATAGGTAAATTTAAAATTTCACTGTTTTATGTCGTTTGTGGTATCTATGCTTGTCCATATTTCCCTGTGTTTCATGGATTCTGTGCGAAAGTTTACATTGAATAAAAGAAATCACGCCCATGCCACAAAATGTTTTCAGTCCTTTCTCGCATTTTTATCAGGGTTGTATGTGTTCTGTTATCAGAGGTGAATGAATTAGTAAGTGTCACATTGGTCTTGCTCTCAGATTGAGTGTCAGTTGCACTCATGAAATGTCTTTTTTTTTTCACTCACTGAGTTTCAGTTTTATAGTCAATTTCGAGCATTCAATTTATAGAGATTTCAATGGTATCTAAATTTGAAATTCAATCCTTGAAATTTAGTTTTATGCTGGATTCAGTACCTACTGAAATTCAAAATTGTGGTTAAAATTTTGGGATTTCTGTGGATATTCAAAACCATGATTAATCCCTACCAGTTACAAGCTGTAGGCATGTGAACTTGGATTTACAGTTCATCACCTTGCATTTCTTTGACATTAATATATTTCTTGAAAAAACTGGAGTTCGTTCTTGATTAGTATAAAGGTTTATAAAAGATTGATGCTGCCGAAAATTAGTTAATATATTTTCCCATCTGGTTAATTTGGAATTATATGGTAACAGTAATCGCTGAAAGGCCATGCAATCGGCTTCTACATAGATGAATTATGGTCTCTCTCTAAACTGTCAAATATTTATTCACTAACGCCTGAAATTTATGCCTTGCCTTTAAAAGCTAATTCGTTGAAATATTACTGAATCACTCTTTTCATTTACCATCCGATCAGTTATGCGGCAACATGGACTGATAAACACAAGGACAAAGACAAGAAGTTCAGTGGGTCGACAACAAATCAGCTCCCGTCAGACCGAGACTACTTGGGAGACTTCTTGACCTGGAAACCGCCAGTGGGGCTGGAGAAGAACCAGGCGTTCTGGGTTTCGTTAACCCTCTGGGTAGGCCTTGTCGGAGCAGCGCTCTTTCTACAAAGATGAAGCGCGTGCGTAATATATGTACAGCTGCTGAATCACACGATGTTACTTTGTGTTATATTATTTGTTTACCCTCCCTGGTATCGTTGGATAGCATTAAAGAACAATTAAGCCACAGTCAGTGTGGTCTGTTGTGGTTTATGTATGTTTGAAAGACGCAATGCATATAGTAATAACGTAACCTCTTCCAACACCGATGATGTCCGGTGGGTGTAATTTTTGCTCTGTAGTATTGTCAACTTACATTAATAATTTGGAACTCTTTAAAATTGTGCCCAAGTTTGGTCGTAATCATACTATAGTAATATATTATATTTATGATAGTTATCTTATTTGAAAGATTTATATGATTCTTTTCGTATATAGACGATTTATATATTACTATAAATATGTACCTATTGTTATAATTGAAATAGAGATTTTCAGTTTCATACTCTGACATGGTATAAGAGCTAAATTTTCTCCGGGTACTTCCATAACCCGTTTTATCCCCTATATATTTTTATATTTTATTAATGTATTTGCTTCTATCCACGATTATGTTGTTATTTTCATGTCGTCTCCGCCTCTACTACTCCAGTGACAGAGTCTACTTTCGACTCTAACGCCGTTGAGATTCCTGTTTTCGACTCTTAACTCTATTGAGAGCGAGGGAGTCATGTTTCCGACTTTAGTTTCATTGTGAACGAGCGAGTCCTGTTTCCGACTCTATCTCTATAGAGTGAGCGAGTTCTATTTTCGGCTCTAGTTCCGTTGTGAACGAGCGAGTCTTGTTTCCAACTCTAACGGTGTTGAGAGTTTCTGCATCTAACTCTGATACAGTGGACGGCTACACCACTTTCCGTCAATCTTGGCAAAGTCAAATTCGTACATGGAAGATCTCGACTATATCTTTTTCGGTTACTTCTTTGTTCCATCATGTAAATATATTTAGAAGCAATATATTATATTCATGGTAGTTATCTTATTCAAGAGATTCGTAGGATTCTTGTGTTATTTAGACAATTTATATATCCATATAAATATGTACGATTGAAATAGAGAATTTCAGTTTCATATTTTAACATCCTGGAAGCATCACTGCTAGAAAATAATGATAATGTCACGGAATTTTTTTCGCAAAATAATATATTGTCACAACTTCTATCAAATATTTAATAAAAATTATATATAAATTAATTGTTGCGGACTTCCGCAACAATCTTTGTTAATTAATTTGTCCAATTTGTCGCGGAAGGCCGCAACAAACAAAAAATAAATTTATTGTTTTCAAATTTGTTGCAACTTTCCGCGACAATAGTTTTAAATAAAAAATTATTTTTATGCTTTTTACAATGCATTGTTGCAATTGTCTGCGACAAATAATGAATAAATTTATTGTTTTCAATTTTGTTGCAACATTTCGCGACAATAATTTTAAATAATAAAAAAATATTTTTTATTTTACAATTATGATTGTTTGCGACAATACTTTTAAATAATAAAAAAATATTTTTTATTTTACAATTCTGATTGTTAGCGATAATAATTTTAATAAAATGTCTTACATATTGTTGCAGTTTTTCGCGACAATAGTTTATTTATAATTTTAATTTGCAGTTCGACAATATCTTTAATTTTCATTTTAGTTAATGATTTTTTTGAATAAGATACTATTTCAAAAAATATGTATTAAAAAATAATATTTTTTTCTAATTTTTTAAATGAATATTATTAATAATTTTTAAAATTTTATATATTTATTATAGTTTTGTTTTTTTAGCAAATATCTTTTTGGCTTTTAATATTAGAACATTACATCTAAACTTCATCCAGTGTCTACAGCTTAGGAACACATGAGCTTACAATTATTTTAGTAACAAAAACTCAAAGTCATTCTGCGTTCAAAATGGTTAAGTATTATTATTTAGATATTAAATTACAAAATAAAAAAATTATAAATTTATCATTCTGATATAACCTTAAAAATAAATATTAGTATTTTTTAATAATTATAGTGTATAAACTTAGTCATTGAAAATATAGTATATTAAATAATTTATTAAAATTTATGTGATATTTCTACTATTTTTTTTGAAAAAATAAACAAAAATTTAAGTCATCAATAATTTTATATTTTCCAAAAAAAATTATTTTCAATTTTACTTGTGGCTCAATTTTCAATAATATATATAGGATTCAACTTGATAGAAATTAATATATTGTTTCCACTATAAATATATTCAATAAATATTATATATCTTTATATATATACCATAATTATTGTTAATAATATATTCTATATAATAATAATTTAAAATTTATTTTAATTTTTATACTCATAGTAATAATCAACAAAATTTATAATTAAATTTTTATAATAAACAAATTGATATATTAAAAATATATTATGAAAAAATATTTGATGACAGAGAAATTAATTGAGAGAAACAATTTTCAATGCCAATCTCACAATTTTCAATGCCAATCTCACAATTTTCAATTGTTCAAGTATTTCAATTTTTAATTTTTTTAAAAGATTTAAATTTCTAATATTAGTTAATAGTTACAATTTTAAATAATACTATTTATCATTTTACATAAATTAATGTGTTTCCAACTCTATAAATTGAGTTGATTATGTTATTTTAATCATTCGTACAAACATTCTATTCTTTTAGTTTCTATTTTTCTCTCTATTTTCCTTTTTATATATTAGTTTATACATAATTAAAATATTTCTTATGTATTTGCAAAATCATCGGGCTTGGATGTACGAAAGTTTTGATCCAAATACGTATGGATTGCGTCAAGAATTTGAAATTGGAGTTCTACAATTTGTTGAATGGACTTCACAACAAAAAGAGTGGATGAAGGGTAACACAATGTTGTGTCCATGTAGCAGATGTAAAAACGGTAAATATAAATTATCAGATGAAGTAACAGTTGATATGTTTACGAGGGGTTTCACCAGAAACTATCAAACATGGGTTTTTCATGGAGAAGTTCTACAAATTCCACCGGTTGTAGCTGATAACGAGGTTCAATCTACTGAAGATTCTGAAAGAAGTATAAACAATCAACCTCATAATGATGCAGGACCTTCAAATTTGAGAAATGATCCACATGAGGCCTCCACTATAAACGAAGAATTTGGAGATACAAATATGGCAGATAGATTCAACAATTTACTTCAAGATGCTGATAAACCATTTTATGCAGATTGTGATGGAGAAACCCAATTATCTATTGTTACGGAATTGATGCGCATTAAGACCAATCGCAACATATCAGAGTCAGCATACGATGATATATGCAAGTTATTTGGACGAGCACTTCCCAATATCAAGATAGATTGTTGTCAACAAGGATGCATGTTATTTTGGAAAGATGATGCGGCTTTACAAGAGTGCAAATTCTGTGGTGGTTCACGTTGGAAGCATGGTAGTTGGCAGAAGAATGTTGCGGCATCACAAATGATATATCTTCCACTGAAAGAAAGACTGAAAAATTTGTATGAGTTTGTTGAGACATCAAAAGCAATAACGTGACACTATTATCATCGAAGCAAAGTTGGGTCGATGAGTCATCCATCCGATGCAGAGGCATGGAAACATTTTGATTGTATATATCCTGATTTTGCACAAGATCCATGGAATGTTCGATTAGGATTTTGCACATATGGTTTTGCACCATTCGGAACATATGGGGCAAATTATTCATGTTGGCCAGTCATGCTTTCCCCATATAATTTGCCACCGGAAACATGTATGCGGAAGGATTATATGTTCTTGTCCACAATTATTCCGGGACCGCGTAATCAAAAGAAGTTGATTGACATATACTTACAACCTTGGTGGAAGAGTTGTTACATTTGTGGACAGATGGATATGTTGGCTATGATGCATATACTAAACATCAGTTTCGGATGCGTGTTGCACTCTTATGGACGGTAGGTGACTTCCCTTAATAGGGAATGGTTTCAGGATGGAGCACGGGTTGCCGGTGTGCATGGACGACAATCCAGCCTTTCGCTTAACCCACGGAAGAAAGGTATGCTATTTTGATTGTCACCGTCGTTTCTTACCGCAAAATCATTCTTTCCGTCGAGATAGATGAAGTTTCATAAGGGGAAAAACTGAGGACAGTGTAGCTCGTGGAAGGCTCAATGGGCATACACTATATGAAGGGGTTTCTACAATGCCTTTAGTAGCGGTCAACCCAAACTGTCCTAAACATCCGGGTTATGGAGAGCACTATAAATGGACAAAACGATCTATTTTATGGGATCTTCCTTATTGGAAAGATCTCCGTATACGCCATAACTTGGATGTTATGCATGTGGAAAAAAATATTTTTGAAAATATCATACACACTATTATGGATGTTCCGGGAAAAACGAAAGACAACCTTAACGCTCGGAAGGACATGTCAATTATTTGTGATCGTCCTGAACTTTCTGTTGAGCCAGATAGTAATGGTCCAAAGAGGAAGACCTCTTACACATTGAATCGAACACAATGTCAATTACTTTGTGATTGGATATGCCAGATAAAGTTTCCAGATCAGTTTGTGTCCAATCTTAGGCGCTGCGTGGATAGTTCCCGAGTGAAATTCATAGAGATGAAAAGTCACGATGCACATATTTTCATGCAACGGTTGTTCCCAATTGCTTTTCGGACGTTTCTTCTGAGCTATGTGTGGGAGACTATTACTTGAGGTAAGTCTTCTTTTTCAAATAGTATGCAGTTCTACTTTATTCTCGGAGCAGTTGAAAGAATTGCACAAGAGCATACCATTGGTACTATGCAAGCTAGAATTTTTTTTTCCTCCGGCATTCTTTGATAGTACGGAACATTTAATGGTCCATTTGCCAAAGGAATGCATGTTAGCTGGACCCATTCACTATTGTTGGATGTATCATTTTGAAAGGTAAATGTATTGTTTATGAATTTTGGCTATTAATTCAATTAAATTTGTAATTAATTTAATTTAATTTTTTTAAGCAAATTCCTACATGATTTGAAGAAAAAAATCACAAATAAAGCACACGTCGAGGCTTCAATTTGCTCAGCATATCTTGTTGAGGAATCTACAATATTATCTAGGATGTATTTTTCCTAAAAAAATGTGGAGCGTACTCTGAATTATGGAATCTCTTCGTCAACAAGTTATTCAATCTTCAATTATGTCGGAGTAGCCTCGGGGCGGGCAAATAGAAAATATGTAAATGTAGAAGAAATCAAGGTTGTTGAGACCTACATTCTCACAAATACTCCCGTGGCAGAAGAATTTAATCTGTATTGATTTAATTTACTTATTTGAATTTAGTTCGAGAAACAATATGGTTTTAATCAATTGTTTTTTTATATTTGATGAAATTTTGACCGTGATTGGCTCGTACAACGTTTTGGGACGGATGAAGGTGCCATTGACCGATGCATTTTTGAAGACTATGTACCTTGGTTCAAGCAATCGGTACATATTTTTTCTAAGTCACGTTAAATTGAAACATGTTAATAACTATTTAACATTTTTATGTTATATATTTTATAAATGTTATAGGTCAATCAGTTTGATGCCACTCAAACTTCACCAATGATACGAGCCTTAGCAACAAGTATATCTAATAAGGCTACATATTATAAAGAGTATAAAATAAATGGATTCTCCTTTAGTACATACAACCGGGGAGTTGGTAAAGATTCGCAACGCTATGGTGTGTCTGTGATTACCGACGTTGGTTCTGAAAACTCCATGGAGTACTACGGAATAATTGATGAGATTATTGAGTTTTCATACGATCTCCATCGTCACATGAAAGTAGTATTGTTTCATTATCGTTAGGCAGATCCAACTCGTGGGACAAGGAGACATCAAACTTACAATATAGTTGATTAATTTTGTTGCAACCTTCCGCGACAAGATGTCATTAATGCATTTTAGCATTGTCGCAGAAGGTTTGTTGCAACGTTCCGCGACAATATCCATTGTCACGGAGAATCTAGCGCGGAACTAATTTCGCAACATTTCCATGACAATTTATTAAATTTGTCGCAGAATGATATACTTTCCGCGACAAATATATCGCGACAATTGAATATTTTTCTGGTAGTGCATGCGGTACATTTTCCCAAGGGCCTTCTAGACAACATATTGGAAATAATCCTGCCATAAGTTGACTGCGTATATATTTAACCAAATCTGATAAATAAATAATCCTAGTCGCAAAGTCGACTAAGTCCTCGTTGACTTGGTATTATGCATGTAGTCTTTTTTTAGTCGCAAATTTAGAGATAATTAATTGGAGTCTATCTATTTTGGGTCATTCAAGTTTCTTTTTCTAGCTTACACAATTTTATCTGATTTGGTATGTCTAATAATAACGTACGTACATGTGTATTCAATAAGTTTAAATTTTTAGCAGTAATAATATTAATACATTGCAGTATCAGTCATTCTTCCTTTTCATTTCTTCCTTCAACATGTCATCTCAAAATTAATATATATATATATATACACACACACTTTGTTCAATTGGATATAGTCTGAAGGAAAGAACTACTCAGATTGAAAGTTGCAAGAGGACGGCCGAGCAGCAGCAGCGTAGTCTAGTCGACCTTGGGAGGTCAGATTCAACAAGTGGTATTAGAGCATCTGGTTGATGGAGAACATGGCTGAGTTCATCTCCACGTACGGCGGCGATAGTACATTTGATTTGAATCTCTAGATCGGTGTTCGATTTTCCGAGGCATGTTGGAATACATTCTCATAATCATATCTAAAGGAACCGAAGGGTGATAGTAGTTGGGGTACTTGACACCGGAAGTGTAAAGGACAAAGATGACGGTGGCGTAGCAGTGCTCGAATATGAGTCTGGGCGCATAGGTGCAGCAGTTGAGGTCGGCGGTCGAACATCAAGCCGACGTCACCCGGGGTCGAGTGTGGATGGATGGCTGGCTACGATCAAGCAGTAATAATATTAATACATTGCAGTATCAGTATTTCTTCCTCTTCATTTATTCCCTCCACACATCACCTCAATATTAATATGTATATATATACATATGTCAATACATCCTATATATATACTTCTTTCGATCGGATGTAATATGAAGGAAAGAACAACTCAAATTGAAAACTGCAAGAGGACGGCCGAGCAACCGTAGCTAGTCGATCATGGGAGGTTAAATTCAACAAGTGGTATTAGAGTATAAGTTGATGGAGAACGTGGATGATTTCATCTCCATACTCATATATCGTCTTTTCAGGAGAAGGCTCCAGCTGCAATGCTGCAAACAACGGTGTGAGCATGCCAACGGGGCTGATTGCAGCGGCGATAGTAGATTTGATTTGAATCTTTGGATCGGCTTTTGATTTTCTGAGGCATGTTAGAAAAATCGAAGAGCTGATTAATGCATCCTCATAATCAAATCTGAAGCAATTGAAGGGTAATGGTAGCTGGGGTACTTGACACCGGAAGTGTGAATGACAGACAATGTCGGCGTGGCGGCGCTCGGATATGGGTCTGGGCGTAGGGGTGTCAATTCGTATTTTCGGGTCCTGTTCATGTCGGGTTGAGCCATGGGGATAACAAAAAAAATTGTCGACCCGAACCAAAAATTTGACCTGAAACCCTAGACCCGAACACGACACGAATTCTTTCAGGTCGGGTTCAGGTTGATCTGAATCAGTTTCAGGTCACCCGAAACCCGAACAAACTCGACACGAACTAGACATGGAAAAGACCTGAAAACTTAAAAAATTAAACTATCCTAAAAAAATTTATTTTTATTTTTATTTTTTATATAATATAAATACTATAAATTAAAATAATAATAATAATAAAAATTTTAGGTCAACCGGAAATACGACACAAAATTTTTTTGTTTCGGGTTCGGGTCGACCCGATTTTTTACAAACCTGAAATACCCAAACCCGAACCTAAAAATTTTCAGGTCGAACGGGTTCGGTTCTTTGGGTCACTGGTCGAACATCGAGTAGGCTTTACCCAGGGTCGAGGGCGGATGTGATGGCGACGATCAGGGAAAAAATTATCTAGATGGCACCGACGGCTTCCAAGTGTCATGGACCATCCGGTTGTTCCTCGAACACCTTCCGTGTGGTCTAGCAACTTCCGGACACTTAGAGGTTGCTAGTGCCGTCTTTCCTCGAACTCTTTCAAGAACACTCAAGAACACGCTTAAGAACACTCAAGAATCGTAGAGAGCGGAAGTAGTGAGGGAAAGACTTGTTATTGCTCTCAACTTGGTGATTTACAAATGAAGTACAAGCATCTATTTATACAAGTCCATTGTGAAATGGGCGGTCAAGATCGAATCAATCCGACGGCTAAGATTAGCCACTATCTACCAACTACCATCTACCATTAACCAACAACCAACTCCAAATACCTCATTAATGAACAAGCTCTAGTTTTATCTACAATGTTCCACAAGGTTCCGGATTCTTCTAAGTGAGCCTCCAGGTTTTGGATTATTCTCAGTCATCGTCGGTCACAGACTCGGTCCAGGATATTCTCCCCCACTTGATGAAGGCATTGTCCTCAATGCCTCAAACTCATGCACTAAGTTCTCTAATTGCCAAAGTTTCTACGCCGGCTCCCAACTCATCTCTGCCTCGGGGAATCCTCGCCATCTTACTAAGTATTCCATCAAAGGTGGACGGTTCTTATGGCGTACTAGGCGATCTGCCAATATCTCCTCGGCCACTTTGTCGTATGCCGTCCGCATCCCGGGTGGTGCTCTCGTTGATACATTTGGACTCGAGTCTCGTTTATCCATGTAGTAGGGCTTGAGAATGCTAACATGGAATACTAGGTGAAGTTGGGACAAACCATCGGGTAGCTCCACCTTGTATGCCACATCGTCTACTTTCTTCACGATTGGAAACGGGCCTTCGTAACGCCTCATCAACTCCTTGTGGACACCTCGCACACGCCCGTGTTGGTAGAGTTTCACCAATACTAAGTCTCCTTCCTTGAATTCTCGGAACATTCGCTTCCAGTACGCCCATTTTTTCATCCGCCTTTGGGACTCTTCCAAATATAGTCACACCACCTCCGCCCGATCTTGCCAACCCTTGGCGAAGTGGGGAATGCCGGTGAACTTGGTCCTTTGTATATCCCTACCAGGTCTTTCGAAGTCGTAGGTTGGAAACCAAGTACGATCTCGAACGGGCTCTTCCCGGTACTCTCGTTTTTCTACAAGTTAAAATAAAATTGTGCCACATCGAGTAGTTTAGCCCAATCTAGTTGGTTTATCATCATGTAATGTCGTAGGTACACCTCCAAGACTTGATTGACTCACTCCGTTTGGCCATCTGTTTGCGGGTGCATGGTCGTGGACACTTTCAACTCCAACCCCAACAAACGGAACAACTCCGTCCAAAATCGCCCAGTGAATCTTGAGTCTCGATCACTCACGATGCTTGTCGGTAGCCTCCAATACTTAATGACGTGCTCCATGAAGAGTTTTTCCATCACCTCCTCCATACGCTTCTTTGGCTCCGGGATGAACTCGGCATACTTTGAGAACCGATCGACCACTGCCAAAATGCTTGTTTATCCATTGGACTTCGGGAAGCCGATAATGTAGTCCATGGACACACACTTCCACATTCGTTCCAGAATTGACAAGGGTTAGAGTAACCCCGCCGGTGGTTGCTTATCGACTTTGTCTTGTTGGCACACAAGACACGTTCGAACATACTCCTCCACGTCCTTCATCCTCGTCCAATAATATCGATCTCGCAACAATGCTAAGGTTAGTTGCATATCCGGGTGTCCCGTGTAATTTGAATCGTGACATTCTCGTAGGATGTCTCGTCTAATGCTTTCCGTATCCGCTACATACATCCGATATCCTTTTGTCACAACCAATCCGTCCTCCAACGAGTATTTCTTCATCTTTCCCTCCTCCACTAACTCCAACACGGCATGCGTGAACTTGTTGTGAACAAGCCCTTGCCGTATCCGGTTTACAATATCTCTTTCTACCGAATGGATGGCCGCCACCTTCCAACTCAAAACGTCCGCCACTACGTTAGTTTTCCCGGGTCGGTACTCAATCTTGAACTTTAATTGTGCAAGAAAATCAAGCCATTTCGCTTGTTTACCCATTAACTTCTTTTGAGATTGGAAGTAGCTTACCGTCTAGTTATCCGTCACGTTAGTAAAGGGAACGCTCACCTTGAGGTAATGTGCCCATATTCCCAAGAAATGCACAACCGCAAGCATTTCTTTCTCATGTATCAGCCACTATTTCCCCACGTCTGACAATTTGTGGCGCTCGTAAGCCACCGGGTGTCCATCTTGCATAAGGAACTCCCCCAACGGCGAGGTCCGAGGCATCCGTCATCACCTCAAACGGTTTGGTGATCAGGAAGTGCGAGTACCGGCTCTTTCGTATTGCCTCATTTAAAGTGTCAAAGTCCGCTTGGCACTCCGGCGTCCACTCCCACTTTAGCTCCTTCCGCAACAAGTTGGTCAAAGGTACCGCTATTGCTGAGTAGCCCTTGACGAACCGCCTATAGTAGTTACTTAAACCAAGGAATGATCGTACCTCCGTAGGAGATTTAGGCGCTTCCCATTTCACGATCGCCTTAATCTTTCCCAACTCCATATGAATCTTCCCGTTGCCCATGATGTGCCCTAAGAATCCAACCTCGTCCATCTCGAACTCGCACTTGTCACTCCAGACATATAATTGATTCTCTTGTAAGGCTCGGAATACCCTTCGCAAGTATTCAACATGGTCCGTCATACTCCGGCTATAGATGCGATATCATCTAAGTATACCACCACGAATTCATCCAAGAAGTCTTGTAACACCTCTTGCATCAATGTGCAAAATATTTCTGGGGCATTCGTTAGTCCGAAAGGCATAACTTTAAACTCGTATGAACCGTACCTCGTGGTTATTGTCGTCTTTGGCTTATTGCTCTCCCGAATCCGGACTTGATAGTAGTCCTTCCATAGGTCAAGGTTCGATAACACCTTTGCCTGTTGCAACTGGTCGAACAAGTCAGCAACGAGTGGCACCGGGTACTTATTCCTCACCATCAATTTTTTCAACGCCTGATAGTCATTGCACATGCAGAGATTCCCGTTCTTCTTCCGTTGGAAAAGCACCGGTGCACCAAAGGGGCTTTTCAACGGGACGATGAACCTTGCTTCCAATAGTTCTCCTAATTGTTTCTTTAATTCGGTCAACTCATCGGGTGACATTCGGTACGGCGGTCGGGACACCGGTTTTGCATTCTCCACCAAGTCGAGGGCATGGGCGACCGCTCGTCGGGGAGGTAAGCCCTTCGGTATTTCATGTGGCATCACATCCTCAAATTCCTTGAGAATACCTTCCAACTCTTTATGGGGCATCATGGCCTCTTTATCTTCCTCGCCCGGAAGGTCCTCATCGCTAATGATAGCCGCAAATGTCGGGTCTCCTTTCCTCAACCCTCTCTTGAGTTGTTTTGGCGTCTACTCTTTTTCTCGGTACACGGTTATGTTACACACAACACATTTTCTTCCATGATAATGTACTTGTCCACATGCGGTATCATTGCTAATTTGGTTCGCTCGATGAACCTCATGCCGAAGAACACACAATAGTCATCAATAGAAGCAATATTGAAATTTACCGTACCTCTCCAATCTCCGACTCGGATTGGCACATTCCTCGCCACTCCCGTCAACGGAGTCCATGCACTATTCACTCCTTTGAATCGGCTATCCAACAGCTCTCATTGTAAACCTAGCTCGCGAGCTATCTTTTTGCTCATGTAATTCGCATCCGCCCCTGGGTCGAGTAGACACAAGTACAAGCATCCCTTTACCTTGACACTAATGTACATCCATCCCCGATGTTTATCATCATCATCCTCTTTTTTCATGCATCCCACCCGTTCTTCTTCCGGGTTAATATCCTCGGTCACCATCGCAACGCTCGATCGATTCGGACAATTCCTCACAAAATATTTGATTGATTGACAAATAAAACAACCTTCGTACCTTGGTCCCAGTTTGGAAAAGTCCCTTATCGTAGCCCGAGGTGCTTGGCGTTCACCTTCGGGTCGGTGTGGTCATGGGGTGAATCTCGGTGTGTCTCCTCCACTTTTGTATGAGATCATTCTCCTCTCATCATCCTTCTTTTTTGGTTCTCTCGGTTGGAACTCAATCAATAGCGAAGCATACTTCATCGCCTCATTCATGGTTTCCGGGCACTTATCCACGACCCGCTCCTTAGCCCAATCATTCATGGTTTCCGGGCACTTATCCACGACCTGCTCCTTAGCCCACGGCCTTAACCCATCGGTAAACCCAAATAAGCCATCTTCTCGCGTCATTGACGGAATTTCAAGTATTAGGTTGACATGCTCATCAATGTACTCCTTCAAATGTCCTTCTCGATGTGTCAACCATCATATTTTGGCCCTTGCCTCGTTCTCGGCCCTTATTGGTTCAAACTACATCTTGAGTTTGGACTTGAATATTGCCCATGTCGTGATGGCCTCGCCATCTTGGGCGAGTTCACTCCTACGCCTCCACCAAATGAGTGCCGAGTCTTTTAAATATAACAACCCCGTGTGTACCTTGGCCACATCTCCCACGACACCTACAATGTTAAAGTAACGTTCAACACATCTCAAGGATCATATATTGAGAAAATTCTTGAGAGGTTCAATTTGAGCAAAGCTAAAGTGGTTAGTTCTCCTCTTACTACTCACTATAAGCTTGGTGCTCACCATAGTCCTTCCACCGATTAAGAGAAAGAAATGATGAAAAAATTCCTTATGCTTCAGCCGTTGGAAATTTGATGTGTGCGATGGTATGCACGAGATCAGATATAGCTTATTCAGTTGGCGTTGTCAGTTGCTACATGTCTAATCCAGGAAATGAGCATTGAAATGCAGTGAAGTGGATATTGAGATATCTACGTGGCAGTTCTAGTTCAAAGCTTACATATGATGGTATGCAACCTTTGTTAGTTGGCTACACGAATTCAGACATAGCAGCTGATGTGGATACTAGAAAATCCATCTCAGGATACCTGATAACCTTTTCCGATGGTGTTGTGTCTTGGAAATCAAGGTTGCAAAGATGTGTTGCACTATTTACAACTGAAACAGAGTATATTGCATCGACTAAAGCTTGTAAAGAGTGGTTGTGGATAAAGAAATTTATGGATGAGCTTGGGTTTAAGCAAGAAAGGTACGTAGTACTTTTTGATAATCAAAGCGCTATTCATTTGGGAAAGAATTCTACTTTTCACGGTAGATAAAAACATGTTGATGTGCATTATCATTGGATAAGAGATGTTATCAATGATAAATTGATTGAACTTAGAAATGTTCATACATATGATAATGACGCAGACATGATGTGGAAAGCTTTACTAAGCGAGAAGCTTGAGATTTGTAGATTGATCGTCGGTATGATGAATATCTCTACATAGTCGCTCAGAATTCAGGATTGCTCCATATAGTTGGAAAAGGGGGAATTTGTTGACTTATTTTTTTCCTTAATGTAGATGGATTTCGGTAACTTCACATATGGAGAATCAACCTAGGCATAATTTTGATATTGAGTGGATTAGAATTTGAGAGTGTATAAAAAAGTTGTAGTCACCACTTTGCTCATCCTTTACGCAGTTTCCGTAAAACTTCGATCTACAAATTCCAACTGTCGGATCGTTCCCAAATTTATCCAAAAGATTTTTTACTCATAGTTCTATATTCTGGACGGTGGAGATTGGAATCGGAACACTAGAGCTTCTGATATAGACACGAACAGAGAACTCTGTTTCTTCCCGGATTCTGTCGGACCAGTTTCGGTGTTGATTTCGAATCGGAAGATCTAACTGTTGGATCATACTGTAATTTGAGTATGTTGGTGGGGATGTCGTAGGGTAAATAATGAAACGGTGGAGATCATGATTAGACGTTTGGATCATCGAGTATTTTGGTCTGAACGGAAGGGTGTTGTTTGTGAGTTTTCTATTTCACTCATATTTTGTTAACAAGATTGGTGTTATATCTTGTGAGTTGGAACTTTGGTTGATTTTAGTGTTGAACGATTTTACCCTTTTTTATTATAGTGGCGATTTTGTGGACTTCGGTCCCGTGATTTTTACTCCTTACATCGAGCAGGTTTTTCACGTAAAATTACTTGTGTCATTGTTGATTGATTGCATTACTTTTTTCAGCATGATTATTCTATTGTTATTGTTTCCTACTAGACTCATACAATGAGGATAATTCATACTCAGATAGCGTGTGTATTTGTCCCATCAGTTCTAACCAAATCACTTCCTCAAGTCAAATATATATTTTAACATGCGAATTGGAATGTTAATTCAAAAATTTTCATTGTTTAAATATAATTTTTAAATATGGAATATGTTTAGCTATCTCTGTAAGTACGTAACTACAATAAGGCTCGGTGCCTCCGTCCACTTTATTTACTTATTCAGTTGATTTATTTGCAACATTAATTTTTCTATAAAAAAGATGTTCTTTTTCAATACAATGATATTCAATAATTATTTCACCCAAATACTAAACACAAGTAAAAAGTAAATAAACCAAGTTTTATCTATAAGATATTATTCAATCTTTACAAAAATCACATTAAATATATTTTTTTAACAAAATATCACATTAGCTACTTATTAATTTTTTACTATTTTTAAAATTTCTAACTTATTTGAATTCTTGTAGTTGCAACATTGTATTAAAATCAAATTAGTTTTTTTTTTTTTTTTGTGAAAAGGGAGATACCTTAATTTGCATGGGAGGGGGTTTGAACTCATCTCGGTTGAGCCTAATATCCTGCAAATGGCGTCGGGGGTTTGAACCCATGACCTCCCTCACGGTCACAAGTCCAAACCCTATCCCACCAGGTCATTCTTTACGGACATCATTAATTGAATTTTTGTAAAACCTGGAAGTGGGTTAGGTTGGACCCGATTCCTTATTATATAGATATTCGGTCCAAAAATTTTTCTTATTATTTTTAATTTCAGATATTATAGTTTTTATGCAATTTTTTTTTTAATATTTACACAGTTTTTCTCTTTCGTCATTCTAATTATAATTTATAGAATCAATTAAAAAAAAGACAATAAATGAAAAAACTATCAAAATGTAGTAATACTTAAAAAAAAGAAACGCTAAAAATAAAACGTACAAAAAGTAGTGCTGGAACGTAGGAGGAAGTATATAGTACAGATTAGATTATAGCCGCCCTGAGCTGGCCTGGTCGGTCCCTTCCCTTGTTTTCTCAGCCAGCCGGCAATAAGAAATGGTCTCTTCCTGCTATTCCTCTTTCATAGGAACTAAAATCTGTGGGTTCACTTTTTGCTTGCTAATTTAATTATATATTATTATTCAACAACAGGATATCATTAATATGTATATATATATATATATATTTTACATGTTAAATTCAATTTTAGTATGTTACATTAAATAATTGTTATAAATTGTTAATTCATATATTATATTTATATTATGTTATTTAAGTTGTTAATTTATATTTCATATGATGCATATTAAAGTAATTTACATAAGGGAAAATGACAAAAAAATATCTCAATGTATACCTCGTTATCACTTTTTGTCTCGCTGGTAAAATATATCATACATGTTTGCAAAAGTCGCTATTTATATCATTTCACCGTACGTGATCGCGTGTGGCGTGAACGTCACACGCGGCTAAAGGAAATAAATAGACTTTTGTAAATGTATATAATATATTTTAACAGGGAAATAAATATAAGACAAAAGTGATAATTAGTAAATATTTGGTAGATGTTGATGTAATGCATTATTTGGTAGATGTTGATGTAATGCATTCTTCTGGTAATAGATTTGTTAACAACATTTAAGAAACTTTGCATATTACAAACAATGCCTGATAGGAGCAAGAAACAAACATGTAAGACAAGTGCAAGTTCAGGCATTTCATGTCCTTATATTCCTCCAATCTCTTACCATGGCTTTCTTTCTTTCTTTCCAAAGCTTCCAGTTTTTACATGATGTCTTGTCCGGAACACACCCCTGTTTTTCTTCTTCTTCTCGCCGGCATCTTCGCCATTATTTCATCGTCAGCATCCGAAAAAGGTACGTATCCTTTCCTGTGCTCGGACAAGATCAAGTCGTGCGACGCGCTTCTCTACCAGCGCAATGGCTTCGATCAGGCTGAAATCGCCGCCTCCTACGCAATTAATGCATCAGCAATCAAAACACTACAGCATGCCGGCAGACAGGACTACCTGGTACCTGTGAACTGCTCCTGTAAGAACATCAACGGCACGGCTGCATACTTCTACGATGTGGTCTACACCCCAGAAATAGGCGACACCTTCTCTGATGTGTCGACCCGCAACTTCAGCGGTCAAGTTTGGGACGGCGGCGCAGACACAAACTTAACTGCTGGAGAGGACAAAATCCTGCATCTACTGTGTGGCTGTCTGAATAACACTAATTCTCGAATCGTTGTGACTTACACAGTCGAGGCTCACGACACCATCTCCTCCATTGCGAACCTACTCTCGGCTCAAGAAGATCAAATCGAAGCCTTGAACGAATACTTGGCGCCAAATCCTTCGTTTATCGAAGCTGGATGGCTGCTCTATGTTCCAATGGAATTGCATCCCAAAAAAGGTGAGGTGGATTGTTAGCCGTTTGATCATTTCTTGCTTGTTAAATGTTAGAATATAAAATTGAAATTCTCTGTTTTAATCATAAGAATATGTACATATTTATAGTGGTATATAAATCGTCTAAATAAATAAGATAAAAAATCTACGAATCTCTTAAATAAGATAACTACCATAAATATAATATATTGCTTCTAAATATATTTTAACATTAAAGTTGCCAAATTTTTTCTTGCTCTGCTCGGCTACAGCTGCAAAGAAGGTCGTGCACAAATGGATGCTAATGGTCATCTTACTATCGATTATCACCGCACTCTCCGTGTGCACAATGGTCACGGTTTTTCTTCGGAGAAAGATGAGAAAGCGAAAACTTGAGGATGATCCGAAAGCTCTTTCGAAGAACATAAGCACCAAGTCACACTCTTTGCAGATTCAACAGGGTAAGAACAGTTGCGTAATTCTTACAATTTTGTTAGCTCAGAGATGGATTTTTAAATTCTAGCAGATGTTGCTGGTTTCGATTCGGAGAAACCGTTGTTGTACAGCATTGAAGAGATTTCAGAGGCGACGAGAGACTTTGACGAAGCGAGGAAAATCGGGCAGGGAGGATACGGAAGCGTGTACTATGGAGTGATAGGAGAGCAGGTGAGGTAGCTAGCTAGCTAGCTAGTTTCGCAACTCGTCTGTGGGCAGAGAGTCGTCGTTTTTATAAATCGTCGCTTGCCATTTCAGGAAGTTGCGATCAAGAAGATGAGATCGAACAAGACGAAGGAGTTTCTTGCCGAGCTCAAGGTGTTGTGCAAGATACATCATATCAATGTGGTAAGAAACTCGTATCCCTTCGATTTTTGGACATTGTTACATGATGTTAGAGCCTTAGATTTCGAGTTCCACCATTCCTTGTTTGTTGTTATCCACGGGCAAGTTCCCCCTTATCCGTGAGGGGGGGCGCATTGGTTGACTCTCATTTGTAGATAAATAAATATATGATGCGTATCCCTAAAAGTTTAAGCTTTTAGATGAGACGGTAATTTACATCTGTTAAAATATATTTAGAAATAATATATTATATTTATGGTAGTTGTCTTATTTAAGAGATTCGTAGAATTCTTGTCTTATTTATACGATTTGCATATCACTATAATATGTACGTATTCTTATTATTGCAATAGAGAATTTCAGTTTCATATTCTAACATGTTATCAGAGCCAAATCCTCTCCGGGTACCTCCATAAAACTGTTTTATCCTGTATATATTTTTATATTTTATTAATATATTTGCTACTATCCACGATGATGCTGTTATTTTCATATTGTCTCCGTCTCTACTACTCCACTGACAAAGTCTAATTTTGACTCTAACGTCGTTGAGAGTCCTGTTTTCAACTCTAACTCTATTGAGAGTGAGGGAGTCCTGTTTTCGACTCTAGTTCTATTGTGAGCGAGCGAGTCCTGTTTTCGACTCTAGCTCTATAGAGTGAGCGAGTCCTGATAACGAGCAAGTCGTGTTTCCAAGTTTAACGGTCTTGAGAGTTCTGCTTCTGACTGTGATCCAGTGAACGGCTACATCACCTTCAGTCAATCTTGTCGAATTTAAATTCGTACATGGAAGATCTCGACTATATCTTTTTCGGTCACTTCTAACAAACTCAAGTTTGTTTCAATCATATCCTGAGTTTGAGGAGGGGTGTCAAAATATATTTAGAAGCAATATATTATATTTATGGTAGTTGTCTTATTTAAGAGATTCGTAGAATTCTTGTCTTATTTAAACAATTTTTCATATCACTATAAATATGTACGTATTTTTATTATTGCAATAGAGAATTTCAGTTTCATATTTTAACAATATCATTTATAAGACATGATTTACATCTTTAAATTCATTTGGATGTATATAGGTGGAGCTGTTGGGTTATGCCTCTGGTGACGATCACCTTTACTTGGTTTATGAGTTCGTCCCCAACGGTTCCCTCAGCGAACATCTTCACGATCCGTTGCTCAAAGGTACAAACCGCAATCAAAATTACAAATCTTTCGTGAATTAGCCGGAGAAAATGTTATTAGATTTCAAAGTATGGAATTAGGACACCAGCCTCTGACTTGGAGTGCAAGAACACAAGTGGCACTTGATGCGGCGAGGGGGATCGAGTACATTCACGACCACACGAAAGCGCGATACGTTCACCGGGATATCAAAACATCGAACATCCTCCTCGATCAAGGGCTTGGAGCCAAGGTATGTAGCTGCAAAAAAAAATTAAACTGTGTCCTAACATAAGTAGTATCTCAACAAATGTGAAATGTGCAATCGGTTCCACAGGTTGCAGATTTCGGATTGGCGAAGCTTGTAGGGAGAAGTAATGAAGACGAGCTGATAGCAACACGGCTAGTGGGAACCCCTGGATATCTTCCTCCCGAGTAAGGATTTGAATCATTTGACATTGTAATGACCATGATGATGATGGTTTTGTTTAGTGCAGGTCGGTGAAAGAACTTCAGGTGACTGTGAAGACCGACGTGTTTGCATTCGGGGTGGTACTTGGAGAGCTGATAACGGGGCACCGCGCGCTCATCCGCGACAACCAGCAGCCCAATAGGATGAAATCACTCATCACCATAGTAAGTAGTATTAATGATTGATCGATGATTGATGATTGATGAACATGCATGAATTTCCGATGGATGGACAAACAGATAAACGGTATCTTCAACAGCGAAGATCCGGAGTCTGCGGTGGAATCGGTTGTGGATGGAAATTTGAAAGGCAATTATCCGCTGGAGGATGCATATAAGGTGGTGATCCATCCATGACTTAGACTTAGACTTCTTCACCTTTAACAACGCTACATAGATGCTTAATTAAAAATATATATATAAAAATTATCATTTTCGAAGATTGATATGTTGCTTTCGTAATGTTTAAATTATTATGAATTTTAAATTGTATTGTTTTTAAAAATCTACTTCTTTTTACTGTCTAAACTTTTCTAGGAATGGTTAGGATGTTGAATTTGAAAAATCAGCACCATGTTGATTTTGACACGTAAAATATAGAAACAACACACGTCTTTATTATATACATGTGTTGTTTGTAATAAAAGCATGTGTTGTTAGTTGATAATTATATAGTATGTGTTATATCAGAAAGAGTGTTGTATTAAAGTATATTGTGTGTTGTTTATGGTAACAGCATGTACTGTCTTGTAGCACACTATGTGTTACTCAGTACAATACTGAATTTTAAATTCAGCCGCCGCAACTTTTTTTGTCATGCTTAAATTTTGTTTTCTTCTTGTTATATGGTTTTGAGCTTTAAATGTGTTAAAAACTTAAACCAAAACTTTGCTTTTTATAATGTTTAAATTTACTTGCTTACAAGTTATAATTTGTTGATCACTACAATAAATTAATCTTATTATAAAATAAAAAAAATTAATCGAACAGATTATAGCTAATCAACATAATGTCTAATCCGTTGGCATTGCATGTATATATATATATATATGCAGATGGCTGAGGTTGCAAGATGGTGCCTGAGCGAAGAGGCGATAGACAGGCCGGAGATGCGGGAGGTGGTGGTTGCGCTGTCGCGGATCAGAATGTCTTCCGTCGAATGGGAAGCTTCTCTGGGAGGGAACGGCCAAATTTTCAGCGGAGTTTTCAGCGGTAGATGAGATGAAGTGTTAATTCTACTAATGTAATCGGTTATCAAAGAGAATTATGGAACACAGTGCCACAACAGCTCTGATTTCATCTCATCATCTGCCTTCACACAACTTTATCATCGTTGTTCATAACACATTCCAATTTCCAACTGTTAGTAGATATTATCATTCGGTTTCAAAATTCACTACTAGAATAATGCTCTTTTATACCACTTCTATGGTTGGTCACCACTCACAAGTTCGTAGCAAAAAGTACGAAAATTGCTATCACTAAAAATTTATATTCGGTCAACTTTTGTTTTTTATTTGGTAAAAATGATAAATATAATAATTATAAATAAGAATATAAAAAAAATCGAATTGATCTCAATTTCTTGCTTATGAAGGATGTTTGGTAAAGAATGGAATTGAAAAAAAAAAAAAAAAAGAAAAAAGTGAGAGAAGAGAATAAAATGCAGAGAAAAAAAAAAATTGAGTAGAAAATGAGAATTAATCATTTTTTTGGTAAAACAAATAATTCAATTGAGAAAGGTAAAAAGAATGCAGATCTAAAAACAATAAATGATTGATGAGACAAAACAGAGTTTCAACTAATGAGAAACGATGAAGAAATATTTTTTTGACTTTTTAAAAAAAATTATAAATTATATATGCATATTTTGTAAAATCATATTTTAGTAAAAAATTTTAAAAAATTGTAGAAATGAAATACTTAATAATAAATTAAATATTATATTTATAATTTAAAATAATACTATATTTTTAAAAAATTATAAAAAATAAATAGTACAAAAAAATAATAAAAATAAAAATATAGATATCGAAACATTCATTTCTTTCCATATGCATATGGGAGAGAAAGAAAATTAGAAATAGAGAAATTAAACATTTCTGTTTTTGTGCTATCAATTCTTTATACTAAACACACCTAGAGCACAAACAATGGCTCTAGTTAAAAATACATCTCCAGATCTCACGTGTCCAAGTTCACATCGAGATTTGTATCTCAAATTTAAAATCTTCTGCAGTGGCTTACTTCAACGTAAAACAAAATAAAAATGCCAAAACAGTAATCTTTTTTCCAACCCTTGTCGGATCTCCATCAGCTTTTCTGGATTTCCAATCAGCCTTGCCAGATTTCTATCAACTTTACCGGGTTTTCAATCAGCCTGTCGGATTTCACTTAATCTCGCTGGATTTGTTCCAGCCTCGCCTCGCCACCCTTCTTCTCCCATAGCTGCTGCCGCCGCCAAATTCCTTCTTGCTGCCCATGATCGATCCCCGTTTGCCGTTTGATTTGCCCACGTGTAGAATAGAAGGCGGAGCAATAGAGAGAGAAAAAAAGGATGAAGAGAGAGAAGAACCTGATATGACTAAACTAATCCAACCTTGCAAGAATCAATTAGGAGGAACAATAACGAATAAAAATAGAAATTCAACAATGCAAGAGACACGTCAATTTTAATGTAGAAAACCCTTTTCAAATCGAAGGAAAATACCACGGGTCATCCAAACCAATGAAACGGCTTCACTATAATCAAATCTGTGTACAATAGTGTTCCAAGAAGTAGCACAAAACAGTGCACCAACAATCCCAAACCAATAAAATAAAACAACACAAAACAGCTAAAGACGACCAAATTCTTCCTCAAAACAACTGCTACTATCTGCCTCGAATAAATTAAGTTACAGACCTCTAAACAACGATTCAACCAGTAAAAACCAATAACAGAGTATTACGAACCTCATGTTCAAATTTCACCCCGATCCAATGGTTAACAAGGCGGGAATCATCAATTTTCTGAAGCTGCACAGTGTGTTGTGGGAGTGGCAGCTTTTCGGCAATTTTTGTGTTATGAATTGATCTAGGGCATGTTCTGCTATTCTGCACCCTTCACCCTAACATGATTAACATGTGGGTTTAAAAATTGGACCAAAAAAATGATCTACATAGGAGTGAACCAACCCAACAAATCTCTCCCTCACGACTATGTAAAGCTAATCGCCAAACCGGCGATTTGGCAACAAACATCAAACTTCCACCTCAACAATGGCTTCGTCATCATATCAGCACCATTTTCATCAATATGAATTTTAGCCAATGCCAATGCCTTAGCATCCAAGACATCGCGTATCCAATGATACCACATATCAATATGGTTGGACCTAGAATGAAATGTAGAATTCTTACCGAGATGAATGACTCTTTGACTATCACAAAACAAGACATACTTGTCTTGAACAAAAACTAGTTCATGTAAGAATTTCTTTACCCAACATAACTCCTTACTTATTTATGTGATAGCACTGAACTCCACCTCAATAGTCGACAGTGCAATACACTTTTGCAATTTATACTGCTATGCCACAGCTCCCCCTGCAAACTTAACCAAATAGTCTGAAGTGGACTTTTTGAAATCAGTATCTCCAGCCATGTCTAAATCTGTATTCTCTACAAAAATAGACTTATCTTCTCCAAAGCAAAGTTTCAAACTACTTGTACCACAAAGATATCTGAATATCCATTTCACTGCATTCTAATGTTCTATGTCGAGATTAGATAGAAATATGCCGACTGAAACAACGACATGTGCTAGATCTGGTATTGTGCACACCGTTGCATACATCAAACTTCCCACAACATATGCATAAGGAACTCGCACCAATCAGATTTCTCATTTTCATTTGAGAGACTTTGTTCAACACTTAGCTTGATATGAGAAGGAAGATGAGTACTCACAACATTAGCATATTCCATTCAAAATCTCTGCAACACCTTCTTGATGTAGCCCTGTGATAACTAAAGCTTTTTCTCTTTTCTATCACGAGTGATTCTTATACCAAGAATCTGTTTAGCATCTCTCATGTCCTTCATAGCAAATGACTCTCTCAGTTGCTTCTTCAAATTGTCAATTTTGGAAACATCTTTTCCAATAATAAGCACGTCATCGACATACAACAATAGAATAATGAAGTCATCATTAGAAAATTTTCTAATAAAGACACAATGGTCAAAAGCATTCTTCTTGTAGCCGTGTTCACACATGATAGACTCAAACGTCTTATACCACTGTCTTGGAGCTTGCTTCAAACCATATAGGCTCTTTCTCAGTCTATAGACAAAGTCTTCCTTGCCTTTAACAAGAAAACTATCTGGATGCTTCATATATATCTCTTCTTCGAGATCCCCGTGCAGAAAAGCAGTTTTTTACATCCATCTGATCAACCTCACAATCCATAGTAGCAACGAGACTCAACACTATCCTGATGGATGACATTTTCACTACCGGAGAGAATATGTCATTGAAATCAATGTCTTTCTTTTATTTAAAGTCTTTCACCATTAGCCTGGCTTTATATCTTAGCGATTAAGAATGATTCTCATGTTTTTTTTTTCTCTGAAAATCCATCTGTTTTCTAAAGCCTTCTTTCCATCGGACAGTTTCTCCAAGTCAAAAGTTTGATTATCATGCAAAAATTTCATTTCATCGTGCATCGCATCCAACCACTTCTGTTTTTCTTCAATTTCAATTTTCTCTGAATAACACTCGGGTTCATCTGCATAAGTTAAAGTAACATATTCATTAGATGGATACCTTCCAGATGGTAATCTCTGTCATGAAGACCTTATAAGGGGAGCTTGTGAGGACTCGGGGTGATCAAATTCAAGATTATCATCTTGTGACATCGCATCCTTTTCTTCGGAATGATCAGGAACATTCAATTCATCCTCAGTGTGTTCATCATTTTGAACTCCATGTTCCGTGCCATCTTGGCCGTGACTAGGCAATTGCACTGGATTAGAGTCAGTCAGAAAGGTATCTTTCTTGGGTGTAGCCTTTTTCGTGTTGTCAATATTTTCAATGGTCTGGTCTTCCATGAACTTCACATCACGACTTCTCACAAGCTTTTTCCCAACAGGATCATAAAAACCTATAGCCAAATTCGTCTTGCCCATAACCGATGAAGATACACTGCCTAGTCTTCGTATCCAACTTGACCTTTCATCCTTTGGAATATGCACAAATGCCTTGCAACCGAAGACTCGCAGATGATCATACTTGACAGATTTACCAAACCAAATTTTATCTGGCACCTCAGTACTTAAAGCAACCGGTGGACTCATATTTATAACATGCACAGCCGTATGCAATGTCTCACCACATAAATGATTAGGCAATTTCGCTTCAGAAAGCAAGCATTTAACTCTTTCAATAAGCGTTCTATTCATCCTATCGGCTAAACCATTCAACTGATGAGTCTTTGGGGGTCTTTTCATGCCCTATTCCCTGCTTCTTACAATAAACATCGAATGGCCCACAATACTCGCCACCGTTGTCTATACTTACGCATTTCAACTTCTTGCTAGATTTTCGTTCAACCAGATTCTGAAATTCTTTAAACTTCTCAAGTGTCTGGTCTTTTAAGTCTTCAAAGTATAGACCCAAAGCTTTTTGGAACAATCATCAATAAAAGTTAGAAAATAAAGTGCACCGCCAAAAGATTTTACCTTTAATGGGTTGCAAATATCAGAATGCATCAATTCCATCAACTCTGGCTTCTTGATGAAGGCTACTTCTTAAATGATACCCTGGTTTGTTTACCAGCCATACAGTGAGAACACTTCAACTTTGCATTCTTCAAACCTGGAAGCATTTCCCGTTTAGTCAAACACCTTAGCCCATTTTCACTGATATGACTAAGTCTCCGATGCCACAAATTGAAAGCATCCATATCCGTGGCATGCACCATATCTCCAGCAAGCAAACCTTTTGTCCAATACATTTTAGACACTTTATCTCATTTAGCCATAACCAGATTTCCTTTAATAAGCTTTCATTTTCCATCACAGAAATGATTGTCATAACCAGAATCATCAAACATAGGAACTGATATTAAATTGAAACGGAAATCAGGAGCATGTCGAACGTCTTTAAGTAACAATTTCATACCCATATTAGTCGTCAAACATACATCGCCAATGCCTACTACCTTTGAAGCACCATTAT